GGCTGAGTGCTCCCATTTTGGGATATCAGTGTCCATTTCTGGGGTGACTTCTCCCAGTTTTGGGGTGAATTCTCCCATTTTCGGGCTGAGTGCTCCCATTTTGGGATATCAGTGTCCATTTCTGGGGTGACTTCTCCCAGTTTTGGGGTGAATTCTCCCATTTTCGGGCTGAGTGCTCCCATTTTGGGATATCAGTGTCCATTTCTGGGGTGACTTCTCCCAGTTTTGGGGTGAATTCTCCCATTTTCGGGCTGAGTGCTCCCATTTTGGGATATCAGTGTCCATTTCTGGGGTGACTTCTCCCAGTTTTGGGGTGAATTCTCCCATTTTTGGGCTGAGTGCTCCCATTTTGGGATATCAGTGTCCATTTCTGGGGTGACTTCTCCCAGTTTTGGGGTGTCTGTTCCCAGTTTGGAGGGTTTAAATGTTTATTTTTGGGGTGTCAGTGCCCATTTTTGGGGTTTCAGCGCCGAGATTGGGGTGAATTTGCTCACTTTGGGGTTTCTGTGTCCGTTTTTGGGTGAATTCTCCCATTTTTGGGCTGGCACCTCACAGTATTTGGGGTTTCCGTGCCCATTTTTGGGGTGAATTCTCCCATTTTTGGGCTGGCACCTCACAGTGTTTGGGGTTTCCGTGCCCATTTTGGGGTTTCTATGCCCATTTTTGGGGTGAATTCTCCCATTTTGGGGTGAATTCTCCCAGTTTTGAGCTGGCACCTCACAGTGTTTGGGGTTTCCGTGCCCATTTTGGGGTTTCTATGCCCATTTTTGGGGTGAAGTCTCCCATTTTTGGGCTGTCAGCTCCCAGGGTTTGGGGTTTCTGTGCCCATTTTGGGGTGAATTCTCCCATTTTGGGGTGAATTCTCCCAGTTTTGAGCTGGCACCTCACAGTGTTTGGGGTTTCTGATCCCAATTTGGGGTTTCTGTGCCCACTTTGGGGTCGCCCCTGCGCGTCCCCTGCTCTCACCGAATGCGGCCGCCGCTGGGCTCTGACGTCACAGCGGGTGTGACGTTGACGTCACCTAGTGGGCGTGGCCCTGACGTCACCACGCGCACAGGGCGCCCCCTACCGGGCCACCTGGGCAATGGCGGGGGGGTCCCCGCGGTCCCCCGGAGGTGACAGGGGACAGGGGAGGGTGGCATTGTCCCCTGGCCCCGCGGGGGGTTTTGGGGTGGCCCTGGGAATGTGGGAAAGGAGCCTCCACCCCATTCCCCATGGGAATCCCGTGGGATAAAGCCGGTCCCCCCACGGTGACCCCAAATCCTTCCCCCAGCCGGATTTGGGGTCCCCTGGTGTCCCCCCCGGTCCCGCTGTCCCCATTTGGGGTCCTGTAGGGCGCAGATCCCAAAGGAGCCCGTCCCGGGGATCCCGGCTGGAATGGGAATGGAGACGGGGAGAGGGAACCCCCGGGATCAGCGCGGGGAGGGGACAGTCCTGGGGGATGGACAAATGGACACTGGGATGGACAAATGGACACTGGGATGGATAAATGGACACTGGGATGGACAAAGGGAGGGATGGATGGACACTGGGATGGACAATGGGATGAACACTGGGTGGACAAATGGACACTGGGATGGACACTGGGATGGACAAATGGACACTGGAATGGACACTGGGATGGACACTGGGATGGACAAATGGACACTGGGATGGACACTGGGATGGACAAATGGACACTGGGATGGACACTGGGTGGACAAATGGACACTGGGATGGACACTGGGATGGACACTGGGATGGACAAATGGACACTGGGATGGTTAAATGGCCAATGGATGGACACTGGGATGGGC